GTTACTGTCTGGTCACTTTACACTGATCAAAATTTTTACAGATTACATAGTATTTTAGACGTGGTTTTCACACATGTAGGAGCCTCAGAAGACTACAACATCAAAAAACCCCCACCCTGCTTCTGAGTGCTCTATAGCTAGGATATAAAACTTTGATAGACAAGGTCTTGCTTCTTCAGTGGCTTTAACTTGTGTGACATCAGTGTAATCCATGAAGATACAGAACATCAGGAAATGCATGTAATGGTGCAGAATCTGGATATTGAGGTAAAATTTGGAAAGACCCATTTGTGGAACTGGTTTACTCTCTTCCTCTCCAGTTAATAAGGTAGACTACATTTTAAAAGTACTCCTTTAAATACATGATATCTATTAGATAAGATTATTTTAAGCATATGCTCATAAGTTTTCGTGAGTTTAAATTTTTCAGCTCTTAACAATTTTTTTTTCTTTTTCTACCAGAAAATATTTAAAAAAAAATAAATCTAAGACTAATTTTCAATTATCTTGAGTGCTTAAAGCTTAATTATATTTTGGAAAATAGGCCGCATGTATTCTATAAATGTGACAGGTCATATTTATGTTAAAATATTTCCAATAAGCACAAGATAAAGTTTTCTATAATTGCATATCTTTATGGCATTAAAGATACTAATGAGGTAAAAATAGCCAGTTTCATCATATAACTGGGAAGCACGTTGCCCTTCCTGTGTATGTTGTGGTACATGATAACGTCTACAGAATGAAGGTAAAGAATACATGCAGAATCATAGAATGATTTGGGTGTGAAGGGATCTCAAAAGATCATCTAGTTCCATGCCATGGGCAGGGAGACCCTCCACTAGACCAGGTTGCCCAAAGCCCTACCCAACCTTGAGGGGACATCCACGACTTTTCTGGGCAACCTGTCCCAGTGCCTCACCGCTCTCACAGTATAGATCTCCCCCCCCTTCAGCTTAAGGCCATTACCCCTTGTCCTATTGCTGCATGCCCTTGTAAACAGTCCCTTTCCAGCTTTCTTTTGTGTGTTACTGATAACAGGCATTAGCTAGAATTCTGGGTAGACTTTGATCTTCCAAACGTGTGTATGCATTTAACCTAAGGAGATGGAATTCCTCAGATTACCTCAGTGACATCATTTAAAATTGTTGCATGTGTAGCCTTCAGGTAGAAGGGAGGCTGTGGGGCTTTAATTTATTATTTCACCAGATTCGTGTGTGTGTGTTGCAGGCTTGTAGCAGCATGATTAAAAATATATCTATCCTTAGATCCAGTTAACAATTTCTGTATTACATGTTATAGGTCTGATTTGTGCAAGACTTTTGATAACCGTATTGAGCTTTAAGCACACATTGCTCTAAGCATAAAACAAGCTGAGGTAAAAAATGGTAAATAAAGGGCCAATAAAATTTGACAGAGACCATTAGCTGACCAAACACAGGACAGACCTGGAGACAGTATAGTAGCTGTCAAAAGCACTGCACATAGTTTGCCCCGAAGCCACCTGCGTACTGAAACACTTTCCATGGCTTTGCCAGCCGTGGCTCGAAGTGGTAATTCTACGAATGAAGAAGAAAAAGAGGAGAGATGCTGGAAAAAATAGGTGCATATGATGGTTACACAGATTAAAATATGCAGCAGTAGAGAGAGCTCTAAGGTAGTAAGAGGAAGTAAAATACACTTCAGCTGAGAGGAAAAAGGAAAAACATAGCTTCTGTAAAAGCAGTGCAAATGTATAAAATGCAAGGCACATATTTCCATATAATTCTAATTTTACATTGATTTAAACCAACCTATGTCCTTTACTGGGTTTGCTTCTAGCAAATCAATTCCCTTGGTTCCTTGTATGATTGTAGAAACCAAGTGCTGGGATTGATAGTTTTCTATTTTAAGGAGCTGCATTAGGTGGGGATGTCTCACGATTGCTTCAGCTTGTGTACGCTGTGGATGGACCAGAGCTGCATGGCTGGCAAGGGAGGGGAGGTGGAAATTGTGTTGCTCTTGGGGGGCAGCTCTGAAATAGCAGTCTTAGCTGAATGCAAACATTAAAGAAATAGCAAAAAATAAGGGAAGAAGAAATGGGGGGGGTGGGGGGGGAAAACCTAGTAACTGTATAAATGAACCCATGATCAGGAGGAAGTGAGAAAGAAGCTGCTAAAGCAACTCAGCTATCTGCAGCGAACGTAGCCTTTGTGTGAAGCCGAGAGAATATAGAGTGGGCAGAGTGTGCCTGGTTTTTAAAATGGTAAAGCTGGGGAAAAAAGCGGGTCTGATTTTCATGTCTTCCTAGTTTATCCTTCAGCATCTCTAAATGTACCCTGATACTTGCCATATTAGGTTAAGCCATGGTCTGTCTAAACCATTATCCTGTTTGGGTAAGAGCTAGTAGGAAATGTTTAGGCAGAACTGTAAGAAAAACAGTGTATTTAAAGGAGCTTTCTCCTTATCTTCTGTCTTGGCAGTTTTGGGAAGTGCCATGTTTTTTCCATGATACAATAATGAATTAAAGATCTTTACAAAAGATCATACACCATCTGTATGGGATGTCAGATATTTTCAAGGCGTTTTACTTCATGATTGGGTAGCTATACATACTTTCTTAACTAAGCTGAATAATCACTTGTTGAGCATTGTATGAAAACTGTTGGAACAACATGGTACATAAATTGCCTGTAAAATTGGGAAACAAATTCATTGCGTTTTTTACAGCAAGTGATGGACTAAAAACCACAGGCTCTTCCTGCCATAAACATCACCAGAAGTGTTATCATTGGGAGCATGGAAATGAGTTAACTAACCTTTAACCCTATAAATGAAGCTAGAATTGTTATGTGAACTTGTCACATCTCTCAAAAAATAATTAAATCATTTGCAAGTTTGTTAATTTTTAATCTGGAAGGCAGTTCCTTTAGACCTAACCTGGAGTTGTTTTGATAACACTAGCAAGAATGTCTTTGTGGACAAATCTATTTTCATACATGTGATTATTAAAGATACCCTCCTAGAAATCATTGTAATATTTAATTAAAATGTTAAAATATTTAATTACTCTAAACCACAGGGGATACCAGTGTTGTAATTGCATTTAAGATGAGGAAGAAAACTAATTTGTTTTTCAAGTCTTGCTGACTTTATTAGTAGTGGCATCAGCACTTTACCCTTTTTATTGTTTGAAAACTGATTAACTGCAGCATTACTGTAAAATAGAATAATATAAAAAAGTTAATACATGTTTTAATACATCACACTAACATGATGTGACAGTGTTGAAAAGAATGCCTTTAACACATTTGTAAGGATGTTTCATACATTACTACCTCAATATTTGGAGGGGGTATTTTCTTCTTGTTCAGCATGGTTGGCTTTTTATTTGTTCTGAGTTTTCGTGATGGGCAAGAGTTTTTCCTTTTGAAATAGGTGCTTGGAAGAATGGCACAAGTGGGAGGATATGAAATCTGGTATATGGTACAATAAACTGGTGTGAGATAGAGGACAAAATGCTTGAAATTATCCAATATTTTGTAATGGGAGTGTTATTAGTTTAAAGAGAAATTAAACGAACCGTGACAGATATATGACTGACAGCTGAAAACCTATTTGGGAATGTCATAAGTTGGTTTATGCTATGAAGTTGGTCTTACAAGAAAATAATAATACAAAAAAGTTAATGGGAAAAACTGCAGTCCTGTTTTAAGTTCCGTGTGTTTCATGACTCTTAATTTATATAAAAGTGTTTGCTTCACTTAAGTAATGTTTCAAAAGTTGCCCTAAACCAGTTCATAGCTATATTACAATCTGTAATTTACATAGTTGGTCAGAGGAGTAAGTTGTTTTTAAGCTCATGTATGCTTACTTGCCTAGATCACTGCTCTCCGCTCCTAGGGGCGAGGTACAAAGCAGAATCCACCTGTGTGTTTCCTTCTGGTTCTTAGCTTGGTGCGTGTGAAAGAATAGGAGGTGGTAGCTGCCGGAGGGTGATTCGATAATGATCTTGGGGTGATGGTATTGGGGAACAAGGAGAAAGGGAGCCAGAAAACTTGTACTCCCAAAAGACTGATTCTAACTGGTCTAGATAGTTCAAATCAATGGTAGGAGAGCATCTTCTGCAGGACTGCCGCAGTTGGTATTTACATCCATGTCCACCAGGGAGATGGGGAAAAATGGAAAGCAGGCTTTTAACAATGGGGGATGCATAAAAGTTTTGGGGGACTAATCTGGCTAGGCTTCCTCTGCTCCTTCCTAGCCAAGGAGGAGAGATGCTGTTCTAGAGGGTGACTTGCAATATGAGCCTAAAACAGCTTCTTTAGAAACATTCCTCTCACTCTCTTGGTTTTAGAGGAAGTCTAGGCAGATCGGTCTCCCAAGCTGAGTTTAGTCTTTCTGAATGTCACCCTCAGGCCTGTCTGGGGAAGTAGTTGCAGTGAAACACTGCCTTCTGCTTGCTTACGGTAAGCAAAGCTTGTGGTGAAAATTATGGCTGAATAATTAAAATATTAATATATACCAAAATCTACAGATATTTCTGATTTTGGAAATACGCTGCTGAGCATGCACGTTGTAATTAAGTTTCCAAATGGCTTGTCTGTATGCAATTTTCACATTTGGAAGTTGCAAAGAATCTTCATTTTCTACAAATGCAGGGATTGGAGCTATTTTAAAAAATAACAAACAAAATCACAAAAAAAAACCCCTCAAACCTTCTCTTTTTAATCTTATGCCTCTTTTTTTGCACTCTAGTAAAGTCAGTCGAGATGTACAGTGTGTTAACTCATAAATTCTAGCTTAAGCAGAAGAAGAAATTTAAATGGCAAAAGTTCATATTTATGCCCCAGATAATTTCTAAAACATGATAAACTCAGAAAACTACTGATAGTGCCAATGAAGTTTTATGTAAATGCCCTTGTTTCAAAGCTCGCATCAATGTAATTTGGTACTTGGTAATGGTTTTTTGCTGCTACAGTGAATTTACCTAGACAATTATTTTTTTTTTCTTAAACTAGAAAGAACTCTGCAATATGATACTTGACTGCTGTGCTCAGCAACGAACATATGAGAAGTTCTTTGGGTTACTGGCAGGGGTGAGTGCTGTTTTCAGATTTTGCACTTTATGGTAGATAATTTCATTGGGGGTTTTGTGTGTCAGACTTAAATTTTAATGGATAACTTTTTATCATTCTGAAAATGGTTTGATTAGTTGATTGCATTAGTTGATTGAATTAATATTGTAATTGTAATAAGCGCAGTGAATGCAGAATGAGCCGCCTCATTTTCTCTTTATATTGTTGCTTTTTTTTGGCTCCCTCTTTTTCTCATTATGGTAGAACAATAATCAGTGACAAAGGAATGGTACTAAAAAGAGGTAAAAGTATTATGAGTTACCAGAAAATATCCTTTTTACAGTGCTGAAGATTAATTTTGGAGACTCCTGTCCTTTACTACTTCGTTCATTGCTACTTAACAGGTTTTATTTAGAGCACAGGACTGAATACTTACTGTCCTGGGGTTGTGCGTGGGCTGCTTTCTTTGTTTTTCAGTAAACAGCTAGCTCTCTGATTTTGTGTAACTAACTGCTAATTTAGTTGCAGTTATTTCTTAGTTAAGTTTTCCCTATCTATGATATTGACAGATCTCACTAGTTAAGATAAAATACTTGTCGTCTTAAGGGAGCAAGTTATGCTGAAAGGGAGTGTTGGGGTTTTTTTTTCCATTTGTGTGCTTTATCCAGTATTTGGAATTATCTACCATATTGAGGAAATACTTCTGCTAATAGTCAGTTACGAAGCACTAACTATATGAATCTAAGTGTTCAGTAGCATATAAATGTCAGTTTCGATGTTCTTTGGAATGTTTATGTCCAAAACACCTTAGCTCTGTGTTCCCTGCTGCCTCTCTAATTTTAAATAGTCAATGATGTTATGAAAAAAATTACACTTGATGGAGTTACATCAGGTTACATTCCCTACTGGATGTATGGAAGTAAAAGAAATTGCTGAATAATTTGCTGTAGTTCAAAATTGATAATTACTAATTTGCAATGCAGATAAGTTTATTGTTCTGACAAACTGCTGAAAGCAATAAAATGTATCCATTTGAAGGTATTTTCTTCTCCTCCAAGGGTTATTTAAAATCAAAATCTTGCAGTAAATATTTGCACCATTAGGTCACTTACATGTAGGTTATTTGCATGTTGAATGTTTTGTTTAATCTGGTGGTTTAAATTGTGCAATGTTGTCTCAGCGTTTCTGCATGTTAAAAAAAGAATATATGGAATCCTTTGAAGCTATTTTCAAAGAACAGTATGATACCATTCATCGTTTGGAAACGAACAAATTGAGGAATGTTGCCAAGATGTTTGCTCATCTACTGTACACCGATTCAATTCCCTGGAGTGTAAGTAAAAATGGCTATTGTCCTAGATTTCTCTTCCAATAATTAATCTCTGGTATTCAGTACATTGGTTTTAGTATTTATTCTACAATTTGGAACGACTCGTATTTGTAGCAAACTGGATTATTTTAGGTATCTTCTCAGACACTGTTGAACAATTCTGTGTTGCTTTATCTCTTTCTGCCCCCTGTGCATCATTGTCCTCTCTCTTCCGTTCTTAAGTATTGTTAACTTAAGTGTTGTTTGCAATTGATTGATTAAAATGTATTTTTTTAGAATTTTGAACTTTTAATCAGCAATGTAAATAGCAGAACAGTTTAAAAAGCCTAAAGAAACCTTTTACAACTATCTTTAAATGTGAAATTAAAAGTTTTATATAATTATAAGGAATTTAAAAATACTGCCATTTTGTGATCTAAGTGCCAGATAAATAAAGGCAATCTTGTTGCATTCGGAGATACTTATTTCTTCATTTTAATGTTATATTTTTCTATCAAGGTGACTTCTCTTTTCCTACTGTTTTATTCTTGTTTCACAGCCCAGTCTAATTGTCATTCTTCAGGCACACCCAAGTCAGTCCAAATATTTTACCTCTTTAAAACTTAAGTCCCAAATTTTTAACTTCCCAGAAGTTCACACACCTGACTTTATCTTATGAAGCTTTCCTGGATAAAATAAATCTGTAAAGAATTACTAGTATAAATATCAGAAGCTCCCAGATGGTAGAAAAGAGTTTTTGACAAAGACAGTCTTGAAGAATTACAGGGTTTATGTTCTTGAGGGGGGGGAAATAAAAAAAAAAATAAATCAGACTTTATTAGTCATTTCAGGAGGACACATGTTTTTAAGGTAAATAAAAAAATGTATGTTTAAACTTAAGGGTTTTTTTCTAAATACTTTCAGGTCCTTGAATGTATAATACTGAGTGAAGAAACTACCACATCCTCCAGTAGAATTTTTGTCAAAATATTCTTTCAGGAACTCAGTGAATATATGGGACTTCCTAATCTAAATGCAAGATTAAAAGATGAGTAAGTTCAAATTTTATTTTCAAAACTGTGAATTTATTAGTTTCTTCATCTAAAAGTACAGATAACTGTTTTCAAGTTCAACTAAGACTGCGGTTCTGTAGCTGCAGTACTTCAAGAATAAGTTCATGTATAGATTCAGTCATTGCAGAGAGTCCTGTTGAGTGTGTTACCGTCAATTTGGGTTCAGGTATGTGCACCACCATTTGCAAGATGTTTGTTTGTTGGGGGTTTTTTCCCAATGATAGTTTAGCTTGTATAAGTATTTTTCCAGGTGCAAGTCTGTTTTTATATATTGTCAGCTATATAGCTCTGTAATAAATGTTACTGTGGCTTCTTTTTCTGACAAAACTTCGAAAAAAGCATGTAACTATTCCATTTTTTCTACAATAAATTGCTCATCCTTAAGTATAGTGTAAATAACATTCTTTTAAGCCTGTATGTGATTTAATGCGTTGCATTCTGGCAATGTTCCCTTCAGTTGCTTGAGCTATTTCCTGTAAATTGGGATTTCTTCTATGTGTGATGAATTTAGTAGATGCTTTAGCTCATGTAAACTTAAACTGTTTGGGATTTCAGTATAGGTACCTTGATCTTTGAACTTCTTGGTCAACAAGTATTATCCTTTGCTATCACAGGCTACTGTGATTTCATAAGTCTCTTCAGGGCTTCCCAACATCAGGCTTTCTGTTGTCATAATCTGACAGTAGCTTATGTTTCATAAAAGATCAAGTTTTTAAATAGCATTTTGATCACATACATCACAGGTATAAACAATGAAAGTATTGAAAAATGCATGAAGAGAAAACTTCTGCTGTCCTATGGAGATCCATACAGTTTCTTTATCAGTTTATTAATATCAATGAAAACTAGTGCTAAGCTGGCATGATGTTTAATTTAGATGTTTGTTTTCATCAGAACATTGCAGCCTTTCTTTGAGGGATTGCTGCCTCGGGATAATCCAAGAAACACTCGCTTTGCCATCAATTTCTTCACTTCTATTGGCCTTGGAGGACTAACGTGAGGAACACTTTTCTGATTCAATATTTATTTTCCTTCCCTCCCCCCTCCCTTGGAAAAAAAAATAAAGCATTTTTTTGTTAATTAGGGATGAATTACGGGAACATCTTAAAAACGCACCAAAGATGATAATGACACAGAAACAAGATGTTGAGTCATCAGATTCCTCTTCATCTTCAGAGACAGATTCTTCTTCAGATTCTGATTCTGACAGCAGCAGCAGTAGCTCAGAGTCATCCAGTAGCAGTGACTCCTCATCTAGTAGTGGCAACAGCAGTGACTCAGGTACTTAAACACTGGATACAAATATTTACTTCTCTTCTGTTTATACACCTATTTATTTCTGTTTCTATGTATACTTGTTTTGGGGGAAAACTGGGTATAGACAGTGTTAGTTTCTTTGCTTTAAAAACTAGTCTTTTTTTTTTAAACTTAAAGTTTTAAAATACTATTGTTCATGGAAATTTATTTTAGAATTCAGAAAAACTTGAGTTCCATTTTTAGAGACTTAAACATCTGAGGAGTATTGTTTTGTAGATTACTTTTTTACACAGTCCATACCTGTTGTGCAGTACTATCATTCTGTTTAGTGGAGGATGGAGGGCGTAGAGTCATTCTCTTAATATCTCTGTGAGATGCTTACTGGTGAACTGTAGAGACTGATGTCTACAGCTCTTTTTTTGCTTGGCTTGATTGAGTGACCTTGATACTACTTGTTTCCTTCCCTGTAAGTATGTGCCTCTTCATGGTTCAGAAAGAGCATTGTTCTGTTCTAGCTGAATTACTCTCCTTCTGAGTCTCGATTTCTAATTCCTCTTCCTCAGGAAGAGGTTGTGTAGTGATATAGTGAAGGCTCTTGTCTGTACAGAAATCTTCAAGGAACAATTACCTTTTGACACCTTGGTATTTTTGTAGTTTTATGCATTACAATTAGCATTTAGCATCTTAATACTCTCCTGCTGATGTAGAACCTTCTATTTGACATGAAGCATCATAAACATTGCTTAATCTATAAAGTACATGCTAGTATGAGTTAGTGTGTGCGGTCTCCCCCACTGCATATAGCTTGAGCAGGTGATAACACAGCATGACTCTTTTTTATAGTACAGAAGCTTGCTGATTCAAAGTTAATTTGATTTATCACATGCCTTTGAAATGAAAATGT